GTCTCCATTACTAAAATAAATAGTAGGGGAGACAGGGGGCATCCTTGTCGTGTACCTTGTGAGAGCTTTATGGTTTTCTTTTCCTCTTCTCCGTTAATTATTAGTGTGGCTTCCTGATTCGAGTATATTGCCTCTACCGCGTTTTGGAAATGGAACCCCATATCTAATTCCCTTACTAACAATTTTAAGTAGCTCCAATTGATTCTGTCAAAGGCCTTTTCGGCGTCAATGAACATCAGGGCTAATTGCTTTTCGTTGTGCTTTTCGTAATATTCGATTGTATCAATAATTAATGTTGTCTTTAATCTGTCTATTTGGGAGAAAGCCGGCCTGATCTATGGAGATCCAGTCTTTTAAGAATTTTTTCAACCTTTCGGCCATTATTGTCGCAAATATTTTGTAATCGGTATTCAATAGCGATATAGGTCTGTAATATTTTACTTCTACTGGGTCTGTTCCTTCCTTATGTATTAGTACTATGTTAGTTTGGCCCCAGGATTTTGGTATTAATTTATTTTCCAATATGTTATCTAAGATATCTTTTAAAAGCTGGCCTAATTCATTTTTAAATACTTTATAAAATCGAGCAGTGTATCCATCTGGACCCGGTGATTTGTTGGGCTTTAGTTTTTGAATGGCCTCGTCAATCTCGAATGGGGTGATTTTGCCGTTTAAAAGTTCTCTTTGCCGCTCTGTTAATTTTTGTATTTTTAGTTCACTTAGGTATTTTCATATATTTTCTATTGGGACATTTCTTTTTTTATATAGCTCTTGGTAAAATAGGTGGAATTGGTCTGCTATGCCTTGCCTCTCTGTGTAAACTTTCCCGTTCATTTGTATTTTTGTAATTATCTGCTTTTGTTTATGTTTCTTAATTTTATTAGCAAGCCATTTTCCGACCCTATTAGCGTTTTGAAAGTAGCTCACTTTTGCAAACTTCATTTGTCTCTCTATATTCTCTGTTTGCAGTAGTTCCAGTTGTTTTCTTAATATTTTGGATGTGTCTATTAATTTTTTATCTTTTGGTTTCCCCTTTAATAAAACTTCATTTTTGTTTAGTCTTTCCATTATTTCTTCTGCTTCCTTATTTTTTATCTTTTTCCTGGTGGCCTCCTGTTGAATGAGATATCCTCTCATAACAGCCTTCATGGCTTCCCACTGGTTAATTTTTGATGTTTCGTCCCCCTTATTTAGTTCTAAATACTCTACCAATAGCTTTTTGTTCCTTTCTATGTCGATTTCCTTTTTCAGTAGGTTTTCATTTAGCCTCCATCGATATTGGAAGGCTTTCCCTTTCATTGTTAGTTCTAGGGGGCAGTGGTCCGAAAAGACCCTTGGTAGAATCTCGGCCTTTTTTATCATAATGTTTAGGGAGTTCGTGGCCCAGGCCATATCAATCCGGGACCACGAGTCGTGTCTGCCCGAATAGAAGGTGTAGTCTTTTGTTTCATTGTTGTGGTGTCTCCATACATCTTTTATTTGTAACTTTTCTAATTGAGATAGGAACTCTTTTGGTAATAGACCAGATTTGTTATTGGCTTTGACTTTCTTTTGTTTATTTTTAGATTTGTCTAGGGTGCGGTCTACCACGCCATTGAAGTCCCCTATCAGGAGTAAATCTTTGTAGTCTACCTTGTTTATCTCCTTTATCAGATCTTTTATAAATTTTAATTTTGGTCCGTTAGGACAATAAATGTTACACAATAGGGTCTTTTTGTTTTTTATTTCGATTAGGATGCCTATATATCTTCCTTGGGTGTCTTTGAACATTTGCTTGGGGTTTAGCCATTCTTTGGCGTAGATAGCCACACCTCTTTTCTTTTCGCTATAGGATGCCTGAAAAATCTTTCCTAGCTTTTCTTGGGTTAAATGTCTTACATGTCTGTCAATTATATGAGTCTCTTGGAGAGTTATTAGATCATATTTTCTTTGTTGTAAGAATTTGAAAAGTCCTTTCCTCTTACTGGGGCTGCTCAATCCGTTAGTATTGTTGGAGTATATTCTGACGTTTCCTTTACTCATTATTGTTTTCAGGCATCTCCCACTGAGGCATCTCCTGGGGTACCACTAGTTGATAGTTCTCCGGAGAGAACTCTCTCAGCCTTTTGAGATCTCTTTCATTTTCTTCTTCTGCTTGGTCTCTTGGCCATTTGCATGAGCCTTTACCTTCCCTTTCATCCTCTTCTTCTGGATCTTCTTCGGTTTTTGATTTCATGCTTTTCCCGTTCAGGCTTCCTTTTTTCGTGTTGTCCTGGTCTTTTTTTTTTTGTGGTGATTCAGTTGCTCTTTCTTTGATGTGATTATTATAGAAGGCTTTGGCGCTATCCTCCGTATTTAACCAATATCTTTTGTCGTTGAGGGTCACCGTTATTCCGTCCGATTTTTCCCATCTGAATTTAATTTTTTTCCTGGTTAGCTCCTTTGTGAGAAAGGAAAATTTTCTTCTTCGTGCCAGAATTTGTTGTGGTATTTCTTTCATAATGATTACCTTTTGTTCTTTGAAGAATACTGATTTCTTCACATTTTCTTTTAGAATCTCGTCCCTAGTACTTTTCCTGCAAAAACTTATTACAACTTCCTGTGGTGTTTTGTGTTTTCTGGCGTATCCTGTAGGTACCCTATAGACCCTATCTACGTCCTGCCCTATCACTTCTATGGACACATCCAGTAGTTCTGCCAGCAGTTCTATCATGGTTTGTTTCACATTTTCATTTTTGACTTCTTGTAAGTTGCGAATTCTTAATTGATATTCGGCTTCTCTATATTCCAATCTCTCAGTTTGGTCATTTAACTTCTGGGTAAGAGTTTCCAGCTTAGTAATTCTGTATTCCGCTTTCCCTTGGGTCTTGATTATTTTCTGGTTTTCTTTCTTGACCATATTTACGTCCTCTTGTAACTTTCCAATTTCCTCTTTCAGCTCTTTTTTCATGGATTGTATTTCTGCCTGCAATTCCTTATGTTGTGTGTCGTGCTTTTCGGAAAGTTTTTTTATCTCTGCTAATATATTGCCTAATACTGAGTCCTCTGCTAGAGAGTCCTTCTTTGGTTGCCCTTCAATTTGCAGGTCCTGCTTACATAGAGAGTCTCTTCTGCCTTGACCTTTGTTTATTTGGACATTCTTTGCTTTATTACTTTGTGACGTCATCTTAGTAGTTGTTTTGATCTTCTTGTCTATTTGTCTATGTTTTTTTTTTTTTTTTTTAAATTTAGATAATATGTTTGATAATACCTTTATTTTACAATATATCAATTCATATTTATTGATTTGTTTAATGTTAGTAAGTTAATTAGACAGTTATTCTTCTTAATCCCCTATTTCCAAAAGCGAATTAAATGTTTACCTTCTCAGCTGGTTCTATCGTCGGCTCTATTGGCGTCCTCCGCTTTCTCCGCTTTCTCTCCTAATTTTAGTCTGCTATGTGTCTTGTATATCTTATATCTCTTGTATCTTCTTCTAACTTCTTCTGGTTTCCAGGTCTTGGTTTCGCCACTCTTTCACCTTTCCTATTTCGCTAGGGCTATTGCTGTAGTCTCCGTCCAGTTGAAACACTCCTGTACCTTTAATTCTCTTTGAGTCGCTGCTCACGTCCTATCCGATCACACACCGTCTCGCGTGGTTTCCACACTGTTCCGCCGTCCCGTGCAGTCTCGCGGGATTCCCGCACTCCGTGGTCCCGCGGGATTTCGCCAGCACGTGTGCTCACTTCCTAGGGATGGAGAAGAAGGGCGGGCACAGTCCACTCCGCCAGCCCTCCAGACTCTCCAAGGTCGCGCTTCTTGCAGATGAGATAAGGTAGAGGTAAACAGCTTTCCTTATCACTGCTTGTCACCCAGCGCGTCTTCAAGGCCGAATTGCCACCTTCTTTATTTTCGTGGAAGGGGGGGGGGGTAGAGAGTTTTATTTTCCTCCGCTTTTCAATGGCGTCTTTAAATTGTGACAACAGTCCGCTTTCCTTTATCTCCCTGTTTCCCTTCGGTCAGCTTCTTTAAAAGCTGGTCTTGGGGCTTGAGGAGTCCTTAGGTTTGCTGTCCCTTTTTGGGAGGGAGCAATGCAGCTCTACCCGACTGTTGCTGTTCTCTCTTCCCTCTTCGCTCTTCGCTCTTTCTTCTCTAATTCCGTCTCTACCTTTCCCCTTCTTCCCCCTTCCCCTTTACCTCTTTCCTTACCGCTTTTTCGTTTTCTCTCTTTCTTCTTTCCTTCCTCTTTTGCTTTCCGGATCAGTTCACCTTACTTTCCTTGGTCCAGCCTCATTTGTTGGTATTGCTGGTCTTCCCGTTGATATTGCAGCGTCTGTCGCAAGTGTCCCGGCTTGTCTCTGCTAATCACAAATTCTTTTGCTTCTACTGGCTTTAAGTCCGAAAGAGCTGTTCGCTTTGTATTTTTAGCTTTCTTATATTCTAAACTTGTCTTATCGGTGTGTTGGCAGCCAATGGGGCATTGAAGGTTGCCACCTTCTACCGCGGCATGTAGTCCCTCTAGCGTGTCCGATTGCCGGACGTCTTTGGGTGTCCCCTTGAGGGGGGCACCTCCTAGACGCCGTCGGCGACTACGCTTAGATTTGGCCCCTGTGACCTCCGACCATCAACAGGGGAGGGGGTTCTTTCCTCCTGATCTACCAATGCCCGGTTGTCTGAGCTCTCTATCCATAACTATCTAATTTTTGAGAAACTAACTAGTGAAGGTTCACCCTTTGCCAAGAGTGGGCACAAAGATAACTCTTGATGTCTTGGTTCCAAAGAAGTCATCTCCATTCATTTCTCTCTTGTCTTCCTACTTTCGGAGAGTGGTGGTAATCTCATCAGGTGTTATGCCTGTCTGTCCTAGAGAGACTTTTAGCACACAAAATAATAATGCTTCTGTGGACTGAAACTGCACTTACTTAACTTATTCAGATATGATAGTCTTTGGGCTTCAGTACTATATGCAGTAAAGAAGCCTGTAACTTGCATCAAAATTCTAGGGGGCAAGAGACAATATTGTTTATTCAGATTTTGAAAGTGTTGTATATATAATTGTTTTAATTTTGGGACAGAAAACAATTATTGGAGAACAAAATGATTTTCCTTAAATATTTTTAATAACTGTGAAGAAAAATTGAGGAAAGTAAAAAATACAAGACAGATAAATGAAAACAATACAATAACTTTGTTTCTTGTACAGTTTTTTGAGCTGGAAGTTTCTTGTGTTGATAATCTGTTGAATCTAAACAGCTTTTGCAATATCGTTTATTTAAACTTGTCCTATACGTTTGTAGATAATGTATAATTAATATGGTTGCCTGGAAATAAAAAAGAAGGCATAAATCTTACTGTAAAATTGAAAATACTTAGTATAACACAGACGTGTTTTATATATAACTTAATTTGCAGGGATGTAATGATCTTCATGGAATATTCATTGGATCAGCATGTGGTCACCATGGTCCATATTTTCCAGATGTCCTTTTTTGGTCTGTCATTTTATTCTTTACAACGTTTTTCCTCTCCTCTTTCCTGAAGCAATTTAAGACCAAACGCTATTTTCCAACTAAGGTAATCATAATAATTATAAATTTCATGGGCGTCAACCTGTGGATCCCCAGGTGTTTCAACTCCAGGTCTTAAAACTCCCAGAAATCCCAGCCAGTTTACCAGTTGTTAGGATTTCTGGGAGTTGTAACACCTGGAGATCCACAGGTAGAGAACCTTAGATCAATGTTGTGGTCGAGAAGTTTTTTGAACATCACCTTGTGGCAATTTTAGACACTTACACAAATCTGTTGTACTGTATTTACTCTGCAGAAGATGATTCAGCTGTGCTTCATAAAAAAGAAAATCAGACTGTCTAGCAAGCCTTGCAAACGCTATTTTTTAATTAGTAGATATATCTAAATACTCAGAGTCATGTAAATAATTATTAGACCAAAAGGGGTCCAGAGTGAGAAAATTAAAGAAGTTCTACTGTAGGCTATATTTTAGAATAAGGAACTGACAAAACCACCTGTTAGAATTCCTCATCTAAGACAATCCTATGCAGTTCATGCTTTAGCTATAAAATCTCAGACACAATAAAGAATATTGATTTAGTCCAATGTTTCAACTTAAGAGCTTATGTTATGCTCCTCTTACATGGGGCAGATACACATTTGAACCAAGATTCCAGTAGCAATTATTCAAATACCAATCTAGATGTAATGCAACACTTTTAAAATCATATTGCAAATGCAACATTTAAAACTTGAGAAGGACTGAATTCAGTGTCAGGTGATGGCTTCTATTTTAGTGGATTTGTGCATCTGTTTTAAGTTTTAGTCCAACCTGTAAATGAGCTTTTTAAAGTAACAAATAGTTCCCCTGAAATAGATTTGGCATTGTGCATAGCTCCTTTAAAGCTTGGACTAGAATTTGGTGCAGATTTATGGTCCCATTGACACTGGAACCAGTAGCTACTAATGTTTTCATTAATTAACATTTGTCAGATTTTTGTTCAATGATAATGAGGGGCCAGAGTTCAGGAGGAAAATGAGAGGAGGCTACAGGTTTACATTCCTCAAACCTGCTCACATTCCTTTAACTCTAGTTAAAGGTCAGTGTTATTTTAATTCAGATGTGCTGTGGCAGTTTCATTAGATGCTGCTTTGTACAGTGCTGGATAGTAACATAGTCATTATGTGACTGTTGTTGCCTGACTAGGAGCCACCTCTTTACTTTTGTCAATAAGCTAATTGCAGAGCCTTGTCTTTAGTAGTAATATTTTAGACAAAGAAATAAGATTTGTATTTTAGCTTGCTCTAAAATTAATACTAATATATACATCAGAACCCAAATAATTATAAATCTCACAATTTACAGAGTTAATGAACAAATTCTTATCACTGTAAATATAAACATTTAGTTTGCAAGAAATAAAATATCTTACAACACACAACTCTTTTTTTTAAAGGTGCGTTCTACAATAAGTGACTTTGCTGTATTTTTAACAATCGTGATCATGGTTATCATAGATTATCTTGTAGGAGTTCCTTCTCCTAAACTTCATGTGCCTGAAAAATTTGAGGTAAGCAAATAGATTAATTCTAAGTGTAACTTTAGATGTATATTCTTTGGATACATCTCTCAGATTTTGGAATCACCTGCAGTGGGAAAGTTTAAGAAGTCCCGCTGTAAGCAATATTTTGTTTGTTCAAGATTCTAGACAAGAGTGAACAGTGGTAGAATGGGACTGACAGATTTGACTCCCATATTTTATGCCCTTGTAATACAAAAAGCATGTTTTCCTCATGTTGTTTGATAATTTTCATGTCTACAGCAGTTTGTAATAATAATAATAATAATAATCCGCTTTTTCTCTCCATAAGGAGACTCAAAGTGGCTAACATTAAAAGCATCTCAATACAATTTAAAATCTACAAATATGCAAACATTTAAACAGACTTAAATATCATTGGCATTTGTACATGTGTATAAAGGATTTCACTGTTCTGCTGTATTCTCAAGTCTTCCTGAGTCTAGTGCTCCAACTGCCTTAGCTTGAATGTTCAATTTTCAGGAATAATAGAAATATCTGGAAGGCATCAGGTTGGGGAGGCTTGTGTTTCATTTCAGTAGAAGCCTTCTTCCAATCTTTACATGCAGCAGAATTATGTGTATATTTGTCAGAAGTCTTATTCCCACATGAAGGAATCAACTGTTGGTCATTTTCATTTATTGTCCAGTCTACTTCAGAAGAGCGTCAGGTGGTTTGCATTGAAGTAAACTACTTAGCAGCAAACTGAAATATATAGCATTGTTCTTGTCTTCATGTATATTGCCAAGAATGGGAAAATGTGCTTGTCAATTACATGTTCTATGGAACATATCTTCTGCTTAATTTTATAAATTCCTGATAATCATCCTGAAGTATTCTAAAAAAAAAAAAGGGTGTGTGTGTGTGTGTGTGTGGAAAGTGATAGCAACTATATAAAACAGCATACATACAAAGTCAGTAATTCAAAGTGTTATTTAATGAAATCTAAGGAACAAATAGTACTCTTTCTGATATATTTCCATTTTTGCAGCCTACACGAAATGACCGGGGGTGGCTTATAGATCCTCTAGGTTCTAATCCTTGGTGGACACTTCTGATAGCTGCACTTCCTGCTTTACTCTGTACCATTCTCATTTTTATGGACCAGCAAATTACAGCAGTTATCATAAACAGAAAAGAGCATAAACTCAAGGTGAACATGTCCTTTTCATTTTATTATTGTAAATGTGATAATTAACTTTTTGCAATACTACCACAGCATGCTTAGTGTAGGTATAAAAGGGTGAATTTGGCAGTTAATATCTTATGTTCAGCATACAGAGATTGTTGTTGTTCACTCGTTCAGTCGTCTCCGACTCTTCGTGACCTCATGGACCAGCCCACGCCAGAGCTCCCTGTCGGCCGTCACCACCCCCAGCTCCCTCAAGGTCAGTCCAGTCACTTCAAGGATGCCATCCATCCATCTTGCCCTTGGTCGGCCCCTCTTCCTTTTGCCTTCCACTTTCCCCAGCATAATTGTCTTCTCTAGGCTTTCCTGTCTCCTCATGATGTGGCCAAAGTACTTCAACTTTGTCTCTAGTATCTATACAGAGATTGGAATCAACTTATTCATATCAGCGATTTGTTTATAAGTTAAATCATATTCTGGATGAAATTTATGGGAAGGGACTGTCAAAGGACTGGTAAACAGGACATAATGTTAGTGAAAAAATAGTGCATTATAAAGGCAGTATGTAAAGGGCTGGGAGCAGATAATAAACTTTGGAATTACTGATAAGTCTACTTAGATGGTAGTTTAGATTTAGATAAGAAGTCATTTCAATAGGGTTCACTTGAATCCATAGTTTTGGGTATCCATGTGAAGTGCAGGAACATATCCCACATAGATACAGGAGTCATACTGTTCTGAAAATCCTTCAGTGCTGGAGTGTGTTTTATTGTGTGTGTTTTTACATTAATGTCTGTATAGCAATTTCTAAGATTTCATTAACAGAATACGTATTTGTTTTAATATTTCATTGGTATGTAAACTGTTTCTGTTTCACTTCACAGAAAGGTTGTGGCTATCATCTTGATTTGCTCATGGTTGGTATTATGCTGGGCATATGCTCTATCATGGGCTTGCCTTGGTTTGTGGCTGCAACTGTTCTTTCGATAAGCCACGTTAACAGCTTAAAAGTCGAATCGGAGTGTTCTGCTCCAGGAGAACAACCAAAGTTCTTGGGAATTCGTGAACAAAGAGTTACAGGATTAATGATTTTTGTTCTGATGGGTATGTCGGTTTTCATGACCTCTGTGTTAAAGGTAAGTTAGAAATCCTTCATATGTAAAATCATGCAATCTTAATATGTTGGTTAACAGATTTAAAATTCTCATTGGTTCAGCTTGAATTAGTTGATCTTGGCTCAGCAGAAAGTTGTAGTGCAGAAAAGAAAATTATACCTGTCAGACTTTTCAGATTCTTCATCTTTGAGGGTGGAATGAGAGAAAATATTTGGTCATGATATTTAGCTAACAACAAACTCTTTTTTGTTTGGACTCCTTCAAATTGAAATACAGCCTAGAGTTCATCTGTAGTTACTATGTTGCTGACTAAAATAGAAGAAACATTCTGGATAAAGCAAACTGGGAGATCATTTATCATAACATTGAACACTTGCATTATCTCTATTTTAGCATAAGAATATTCAGGAATATATAACAGCATGATTCTCTTAAATGTCCTAAATTTTAGGTAATCATGACTGAAATGACAGACTTTACTTATTCAACGGAGGCGTCTTCTGTTTCCCAAATAATAATGTTAGGTTTTTTGTCACAAAGTTTTAAACACATTTCAGTTAAAATAGTTGAATTTATTAAGATACACATAGGCTCCACTTTTTTTGACGTCAGGAGCGACTTGAGAAACTGCCAGTTACTTCTGGTGTGAGAGAATTGGCTGTCTGCAAGGATGTTGCCCAAGGGATGCCCAGATGTTTTAATGTTTTACCATTCTTGTGGGAGGCTTCTCTCATGTCCCCTCGTGGGGAGCTGGAGCTGACAGAGGGAGCTCATCTTCGCTCTCCTCGAATTCGAACCTCCAACCTGTCGGTCTTCAGTCCTGCCGGCACAAGGGTTTATCCTATTGCACCATCCAGGGCTCCACTAAATTGTATGAAAATTAAGACTGCTTCTCCTTCCTTAATGGTAGTACAGTGAGCCCTTGGTATCCAGAGTTTTGGTCTAGAACAGTGGTTCTCAACCTGTGAGTCCCCAGATTTTTGGCCTTTAACTCCCAGAAATCCTAACAGCTGGTAAACTGGCTGGGACTTCTTGGAGTTGTAGGCCAAAACATCTGGGGACCCGCAGATTGAGAACTACTGGTCTAGGACCTTCTGTGGATCCCACAATCCATGGATGTCCAAGTCCCATTATATGCAATGACATAATAAAATGAAAATGGCAACATTAAGTTTTGATTTTTTTTAATTTGAGAGGTGAATACTATTTTCAAGCTGTGAATGCAGAATCTGCTCTTTGAGGTGTAGACTTCCAAACCTTGTTGAAAAAATTAGGGTACTTTATTTTTCATTGAAATAATGGTTAGATCTTGAGACAAAGCTTGCTCACCAACAACTAAGTATGAATTAGGAAAGTTCCTTTAAGTATGCATATAGAGATTATGAACCTGCCAAGTCCTGAAGTTGAAGTTCCTTACATTGTCATTGGAAGTCCAGTAGTTTCTGGCTGCACTTCTGTCCCTCAGTGGCTAGAGCAACGGCAGCTGAAATATAAAGTAAGTGTGTGAGACTCACTCCATTACCATAGGGCCAAGTCATAATGAATCTGTGCCTGCTGCTCTTCTTTCCCTTCTAGGCTAGAGCAGCGGTCATTATAATAAAAAGAGGGCCTCTCATTTAGCTTCTGAGTCAGGTGTAATGGAACTGTGCCTGGCTACTCTTTCGTCCTCTGAGACCTTGGAACAAGGAGGGATATCCTCACCATCCATAGGCATCAAGTGAAAATGGAGCTGTACTAGGGTGTTTGTGTCTTCCTCAGAGGCTCTAAATCGTACTCAGGTAGTGGTAGAAGAAGCCAGGATGGTTTACTGTAGTCTTATCGACCAAAATATGACCCATACACCTTTTCTCCAGGGAAAAAGTCCATATTTCCACACATGCTAACTTTGTGGGGGTTTTCTCTAGACCTCTTAAGGCAATAAAACTGATTTGTACTAAACTTGGTAAGTTATCATAAGTATAAGTCTTAGTCCTAAATTTGCTTTAATTCTGAAGTTTTAAGGCCACTTTTGAGACCAGTTGTTTTCAACATATTTCTCCAGGTTGACCCAAAATGTCTTTCCTTTAATACAGAGTTTACAATTTCTAGAGATGTGGGAGTTACACTATCCACCAGGGCTGAGAAAACCATATACTTCTCAGTAATCGTGATAGTTGCCCAAAACATCTGGAGGTCCCTGTTACTCTTTCGTAACAAAGGAAACTACTGTAGTTTGTATTATAATCATTTGTGTGAAACATTTAGTTATCCCTTATATAAGGATAATAAAATGCTCAAGAAGGTAGGGGAATAGTTCTATTTACTTGATCTTACATTTGTTCATATTTTTATGCATATATATATATATATAGTGTTTAATCTATTAATATATGTTATTAATAGATTATGTTTCCTCCTAAGTTCAATAAAAATCAATTGGAAGTATATTTTCATATCTAATTTAAAAAGGCATGTCATGTTGCTGAATTCTCTGTTAATTTTTGAATAAAGTAGCCTAACCTGAGAAATTTTTATTTTGTGTTTTGCATGTTTTATGTTTTACATTTCTTATTGATTAATTTGTGTTTTAATTTTATGGTTTCTCCACAGTTTATTCCAATGCCAGTTTTGTATGGTGTCTTTCTTTATATGGGCGCATCCTCACTAAAAGGCATCCAGGCAAGTACTTTTATTATACAGGTTCTGAAGGAATATTGTATAATACATATGATTTGGTTATCCTACCTCCTCTTAGGGTTGGAGGACCTTGGGGACTATATAGCATGTAGCAATATGTAATGAGAAATTGGTAGAAATGAGAATTTTGAGGGAAGATTAAAGATGGTGAGGAATGGGAGAGAACTTCTTTTCTTCCACAGAATCAGCATGGTGTAATGATTTAGTATTAAACTAGGATTCCAGGAAACCCATATTTGAATTCTTATCCCACCATAGAAAGCCAGTGGGGTAACCTCAGACAAGTCTCACTCAGCCTCAGAGAAAGGCATTGGCAAACTTCTGAATAAATTTGACTAAGAAAAATCTATGAATGGTTCACTTTGGGGTAAAGGTAAGTTGGAAGTGATTTGGATACACAACAATAAGTTTCCTCCAACTTCCAAGAGCCAAGTTAAATAGGAAATACTGGATGTAACTTGTGAATGAGAAGAATTGTCCCTTCTTCCTTGAAATATTATTTTAACATTTACTAACTCAGACATTGTTCATCTTTAGGAATAAGGGGATTTTTTTGTAGCTGTCATGAGTTGCAATTCTTCTAAGTTTAAATTTTTCACCATTGTTAATCTGAGAAAGTATTTAAATTACTCAACTGAGCAACCTTGTATACATTGTAGTTCTATCCATTTATATTTACAATTCATCTTTATTCTATAAATTTACCATGGGAAAAATGTTTAATTCTTTTTCAGTTTTTTGACCGTATCAAATTGTTTGGAATGCCTGCCAAACATCAGCCAGACTTGATCTATCTGCGTTATGTACCACTCTGGAAGGTCCACATATTTACAGTAGTTCAGCTTACCTGCCTTGTACTTCTGTGGGCAATTAAAGCATCTGCTGCTGCTGTTGTTTTTCCCATGATGGTAAGCTGCAATTCAAGTTTCTTTGGAATGTTATGCACAATTTGAAAATGTGCAGCAATGTCAAATCTTTTTTTTATTCATATAACTCAACCTATATTATTGTTGTTGCTGCATTTTCACTAGTCTTCAGATCTCTCTGTGATTGATGTCATTTAAAACATTGTTTTAAAGGTTTTAGCTCTTGTTTTCATTCGCAAACTTATGGATTTGTGCTTCACCAAACGGGAGCTCAGTTGGCTTGATGATCTTATGCCAGAAAGTAAGAAGAAGAAGGAAGATGACAAAAAGAAAAAAGCAAAGGAGGTGCACTTAATATTAATTTATATCTAAAATAACTTCCAACAGTGTTCTGTGAAAGTCTGTGTTGGATTCAGATTTGTTCATGCTTAAAGTAGACACATTAAAAATGGTGGGATAAATTAGTTAAGGCTAACAGGTTCCATTGATTTTAATGAATCAGAAGTAATTATGACTAAATCTGGATCCAACCTAATGTTTCTATTCTCATGATTACTTGCTTGCCTAGTCTTGCAACACTTGTATTATGTGTCTGGAAACATAGAATGAGGTATGATTGTTATCAGTCTGATTGGTTTGAGAGAGAAAATATGTGAGAATTACATTCTTACTTTTTAAATTTGGAGCTCACTAAAATTGCTTCAATATATGTGAAATCTGGGCATCTGTAAGTTCTTATTAGTACTTCTCCTTTAAGCATGGGCTTCAGAGCACAGGGAGGCTATCACTAGAAAGAGAATGAAATGTCCCTGTCCATTAGCAGACCACTGACTATAGTACTTTGGATTCTATCCTTTCTGTATGATGTCCATGTAGAACTTTCTGAGATTCTACAAGATTTTGTAAGCACAGAAAATACATGTGCTGTGGGGAAGCTTTCTTTAGATGAATGCCATATAGTGATACTTCAATCTGGGGAAAAAATCCACAGTTTTGCTTGTTTTATAATTTATCACCCATCATTTGTGTAGGTGTCCAAAGTGTTGGGAGAAGAAAAGTGGAAGGATTGTCCCATGGGTCTTTCAAATAGGATTTCTATTAGATGTCTAACTAGGTTGGGTTGCTGAACTGGCAATGAATTGGCAGAAGCTGCACTGCACTGAGTACTTTTATTGAAGTTCAACTAAGAATTGAAAAATGGTTGTCTGATGGTATTGGGCATAGCTTCCAGAAAGTGAGTCTTGTTTCATTGTTGGTGTCTTAATTTTTTAGATAACCATCTACTCTATGCCCAGATATCAGGGGGAAGGGTTTAATACCGTTGTGGGAGTAGCCAAAATATAGTAAGAGAACTGTATTGAAAACATTTGTCCTTATACTTTAAAATAGTTTCTTAAATATCTATTGGATAATGTGTAACTTTCAGGAAGCTGAACGAATGTTTCAAACCGTGGACAGTGAAACTGTACACCTTCCATTTGAAAGAGGCGATGTATTACAGATTCCTGTGAAAGCTCTAAAATACAGGTGTGACATATAATTGATTCCATTATTGTTATTTTGTTACATAGTTGTGTATTCAGGACAGTTAATAATACATTCTAACAATTTTGTCCGGCCACTGACAAATACATTTGGAATTTACCAACTTGAGAATGAGTTTGCAAGGCTTGAGTAGGGTTGTTGATGGCCGTGGAGATCCCTCATTCAGAGGGTTGTCATAAGTCAAGCCAGTATGATAGCTGTAAACAACAACTACTACAGAAGAAATTGAGTCCTCTTTGTATCTATAATACAGCTATATGTGTCTGTATTAAATTGCACCCAACTCACTTATGTGACCATTTTGAACAGATCAGTGGACTCACTTTCAACCAGCTGTTCTCAGGGAGAAGAAGTATTTTTGGTCAGTTCTGTGTAGTGTGTTGCTGTGCATGGCTAATATAAAAAGCATTGAATATACTAAATAGAAGTTGAACTGAGCTGTATATTTACCAGCTACTATAGGCCAGACAAAATATTTTAAGTCTCATTCATTATTAACTCAAAAGATGCTTAAACCTAAAAACACGAACCTTTTGTCCTGTGAACATGGGGAAATGTAAAATTTGTGTAAAATTAATTTTCTAGTTGGTCTTTGTTATATTATCAAGTTAATTGCTGGAAGAGTCAGATAATGTTTTGTGGTTTGTAGATTAAATGAAATTGGGTTGCATAAATGTTGCATAAATAAGGATACTTTTGCAGGAAGAGTATGGTGAAAGATTAACAGGTAGCCCGAAAGATACAAAACGTGTACCATCGGTTGTCTACTAATGGAAGCAAACTCTATTCTCAATTCATTCCTTTTTCTCCTCTTAGTTATGAGAAAGATGTGGCTAACTGCCCCCCCCCCCCCCCCGGTTTTCCATCCCATCACCTACCCTATATATTCATGTATAAGTCTAGAAATTTTAGTTAAAATATCAACCCAAAAATCTAGGCCAACATAGCCAAAGGTAAATGTGGATATTGTATCTTAATTCTTATATATTCTTAATAAGGAACTATCTCCTTCTTGGTGTAGAATGGTGAAAGACGAGAGATTAATATGTCCTGAAAGAACCTAAAAAGCACTGAACCCCTCAACATTCTTGGCCATGGTGTTGCTTCTGACCTTTTTGAATGTTTGGATGTGAACATTTCAGTAGTGTCCGGTGATGGCTAGCCCCGTGACACAGCATTGATGCTTTCCCTTCTTCAGAATGACCCTCGACTTATCCATGGGTCATATAAAAATACATAATTTTGCCTCCCCCCAAAGCTTCCCTTAATGTATACGAGAGATCAACTTATACATGAATATGTACAGTATACTGAAATTAACATATATACATATTTTGCTTTGTTTCATTTAGCATACATAAGCTAATAAAGCTGTATTACTTAGTTTATCTCACAGCTTGCCATATAAATTAGGAGTTTGTCTTAAGAATTTTCTCATATGTACTCAACAGGTTTTCTTTAAAACAAAACACATGCTATTCTTTTTTAAAAAATAGTAAATTATTAAGATAGATTTTAAAAGTGTGTCACAGTTAAGTAAACAGTGAAGAACTATCCTTTGGTTTATTGGGAATTTGTTTAAAGACTTTGTATGCTGAAATGACTTTATAAAGTATTGCTTAAAATGGTCTGACATACTTAAGATAAGAAAATAGAGAAGATAAACAGCCATTCTTGCTAAAGGCTTTTGACTCTTCATTTAATCCAAATGAGAAATGTTGGAAGTATCAATGTTCAGATCCTTAGAAGCCAGCAGGCTCAGAACTAATATCAGACTGTGTAATCCTTACACTTATTAATATAGGATCATAATGTAGTATTTCATATAGCATGACACTAGTGGCTGTGTAAATAGAAAACCTAAGGCTCAAATGATCTAAAGAGCATGATATTAATGCTATTGCAAGGCACGGAGTACTAATCATGGTGTGTTTGTTGTTTAGTGTTGATCCTTCTGTTGTAAACATATCAGATGAAATGGCCAAAACTGCACAGTGGAAGGCTCTTTCCATGAACACAGAGAATGCCAAAGTAGCAAGATCTAACTTGAGGTAGCCTATAATTACTCACACTTTCTGATTCTGCTTTTATGTGTTGTGTTGTTGAAATTATTTGGTCTGCATTTATACCTTGAATACACAATGACATTTCTGTATTTGCCACTTGAACAGTGAAAATGTGAGGGAAATTAAAACAGGTAGGGCAACAGAAGATGAGCACTGGTTTCTAAACCTAAGAAGCAGATTCCAAGAATAGTAAACTAGTGCTTTGAGTTACCATATATACTTTTGTATAAGTCGGGCAGGCTTGGGAACCAAAACTATGGATTTTGTGATGGCCCATGCCATCTTGGATGCTTGAGGTGGAGTAGAGCCATTTTAAGTAGGAACGTAGTCTCTCTGCAAGTCTTGCTAGGCTTGCAGCAAGACTACCATGCCTTCCAAGGCTTACACAGTCTCTATTAAAACGGCTGTTGTTGCTTCTCCACATCAAGTACCCAAAGTGCATTTCCAACATTGACATGTGGATAAATAAATCCATGTTTTTTTTTGGGAACTTTAAAAATCATTTTTAAAAATTTATACAGATGTATATATGCTAATCCCGTTCATTCAGTGAATCTACTCTAGTACCAATTAGATTTAACCCATTATCTAATAGGATGTAGAATCCTATTAAGATCTACTCAAAAGGTAGTCTCATTAAATTGAGTGGGACTTATTCTTTAATAAGTGTGCAAACTAAATAATTATTATTTCAATTCCCTTTGTACACATTCTACATGCTTCTATACACAAGAAAGCTAAAATGACTATGTATTAGAGTTTAAATCCTGAATTGAGTTCTAGTGGGGGGGGGGGGGGAACAACTTGGATCAAAGTACTGTAATTACTTTAGTGTAATACACCATTGAATCTAATATGTACCTCAATTTTCAAAACCCTGAAACCCAAACATTATTTTTGCTGGCGAATGTAATGCACAGCAGCAAAAGGTGCACTCTTTGTAAAATGCCCATTACAGTTGCCTGCTTAGAATTCCTTCTTTAAAATCAATTATGTTGAAACACCAAAACTTTCCGCAATTGTAAAGAAACCTTGGGGTGCGTCTGTGCTGGAGAATGAACCCATTTAACTGTCTTTGTTCAATTCTATGGAGTCATGGGGGCTGTAGTATTCCAAGGCCTTGAACCTCCTCTGCAAAGGGTACGGGTGTCTCTCCAAACTACAAATTCAAGTATTACATAGAATTGAGCTATGACAATGAAATTACAGATTACATCCTCAAATAGAAGCTCCAGGTGCTCCTGAAGCAGCTTCCCCCTTGGTTTGGGCTTACCACTAAGATTACCGTATTACGTGAATCTAATGCACACCCTAATTTTGATAATGTAATTTAGCCCCCAAAATGTGAGTGTTAGATTCAAATAAATACAGTAATTTGTTTTAGGGCCAAATTTAGCTGGTGTGTTATAGGCTCTGAAACTGTGTTCATTGGGAAATGTGTGCATGTGTGTGTCCCATACATATTAATAACAAGCATTATAATATGTATGGAATAAATCCAAATGCTATTTGACTATTCTATGTATTCATACCTCTCTAACTTTGTGGATTATTCTTAACAGCTCTGAAAAAGAAGAGACTGTGAAAATAGAAATTGAAAAGACACCAGAAACGAAGTATGTAGATGCTGAAACCTCATTATAGAAGCAAACAAGGGATATATATCATTTTATAGGATATACTGTAAGAAGGTGACTTTGAAGCTTCTCTTGAGTACTGAAGATGAACTCTAGATGATGTAGATGAAGCAACAAATATTTCAGATAATAAGTGGCAATCACTTGAGAAGTATTTATTTTAATGGAATAGTTATTTCCTTTTTAACAGGAAAATTAAAATTGCTTTTAGTTACCAGTACATGTCAAATCATCTTTAAATGTAAATTATTGGTCTCCATTATGTATACATTTTGAGTATGTAGCTGTTTTTTAACAATATAATTTATTGCAGTATGTATGACCTCTTTTCAGGCAATTACTGTTTGGGTTTTTGCAAAATGTTATGTGTCTCCATTTCCATGGAACAAATATCCAAAAGTGCCATTTTGTGAATGATTGCATTTTTTAAACCCCTTTCTCATTTCATGATGTTATTTTTAGGGGTGATATATTTTACATTTGTAGGGATCCACTTCTGAAATCATAAATTAGCTCTGTGTTCCATTGTCACTTCAAAAAGAAAATACGTTCCAATCTAAGGTTTAATTTTCAGTATTAATTCCTAGTCCGTTGCCTAATAGTTCTCATTCCGTGATATGTTCTCAGGCTTTCCTCTTCATATTGCATATTATTAGATAGATTAAACTGTGTCCAGTGTGATAAATTAAGAAAGGTCACTAATTCTGGGATGTGGATTGGGACACAAATGTACCTTTTTCTAAATTGTAAACATGGTTCTATTTTTAGTTACACCTTCACCTCTTGATTGTATTCTGGGTTCTCTTGCATATTTTATTTAGAGTATTAGGTCAAGTATTTTTGAATGTAGTATAAGATCCTAAACTCTAACTGTGCAGTCCAAAATTCCTTCTTTAGTAAGGGAGATACTTTAATGTCAAATGATTATTTAAATATTTTATACTAACAATTAATCCATAAGGCATATAATTGAACACCTGACCTAATGCTACTATGTTTGGAACTGAAGTTTATTTTAAGTTGCAGTGACTGGAACTTGCAGAGTAATCATAAATGGAAACAAGTCCAATGGAAGAAAACAGAATGAATTTTGATTTTAAATCCTACAGTTCTGCTATGTATACAGTGCTTCTTTGATGTTGGAAATCTGCATTTGAAGCGATCCCCAATATTGAAATTGGTGAATCCTTCCTTGGGCCGGAGTTCTGTGTCTGTCAGAATCCCATACATACTAAGAATGGCCCTGAATTGGAGCTATAATTAGCACTGAATTGTGATAACTTTTTTGTTATTCTGGGAATGTAAGAATTTTATGTGAAGTTGTATAGATTAGATTTTAAACATTATTTTTATTCATTTTTTCCATTTTGTGAATAAAAATACCATGAAAAATAAAATAACCATTGTTAGTTACATCCACCATGTTCTTATAGTTATAGTCTCACTGTTGATTTTCTCCTTGAATACTTCAAAAATACTCTTTTTATAAATCCATTTTCATCCACTTTCTATTTTGTTAATTTTAATAACCCACATTTTATCATCTGCTAAGCAATTAAATAGACTTTACTGACTTTTCATTAATGAGTTATCATGAGAATGCCAACCAATGTACATAGTACCCCTTTTTTATTTGGGCAGTAATGATAAAATAACTGGTGTTCAGTGAACCATTGGTGGTACTGGAGGAAAAGGCATGGCAAGTTTTCTCTTAGTTACTTTTTACTTGGACTTCATGATCTGATTCTACATTGGACTCTGGGGCTGAAGAGGGGAATGGGAACTGGATAAAGCACTCTCTGTGTGAAGCTTAAGTGTGTTTCCATTTACATCAGTAAGTTCTAAATGAATATATAATTTGTACTTCTTCAGAATGATACACTGTAGTATTAAACAGTACATAAAGGGCATATTAAAATGGGAGGGATCATCTATTTTCAAAACATATTGTTTTATTCTCTTACTCAAGTCAATTTTCTGGGTGCATTAGGATTTCATCTAGCCAGTGTTATTCACTTAAGCTCCCCATATAGTGCAGTGACAGAATGAAGTAATAAAGTATTTGTCTCATTGAAGTTAATGATGGCTTTTACACTTTTAACTATTGCTGAATAGTATCAATATGCCAGCTTGAACTTTCATCATTTTCTCTAAAGATAATATTTATAATAGCCAAGGAAGTAGTTCACTGGCAGAAATCACTAGCTGCCACCATTGTCAGAGATGGGGAAGGAGAAGTGATAGTTGAGGAGGGTCAGCACTGTTCAAACTGGAAGCACCAATGCGCATGAATATTTTCCAGTATGTTTTTCCCCCATCCTGGTGATTGCCAGGCATTCGGTAAGGTCTACCATGGAACCACTTCACCAATTGCTGTTGAGAAAGAATGCTATTAGTATGAAAACCACAGCATAAAGACCTTTTAACAACAACAAAAGTAAAAATGTTGACACTCCCTGAAATCTAACAGAAAAAATACTTCTCTCTCTTATTTGGGCAGCCTCCGGAATCTCATATAGTGTTTCACTAGGATTATGAAACGGGTGTATCATTTATGTTATCCCTGTTGCTCGGCTAACGGTGTGGTTTTAAAATTGAAGGTCCTTCAACTGCAACTGGCCGTTAAGGCACATTTTTTTAAAAGGTTTGCAGTGTAAAAGCAGATTTTTCAGCATACAGTTCAAGCAAGTGCAGATTTGAACTAAAAAAAAGTGAGAACATAAAGTGCTTATACAGTAACACCTCTATATCCATGGATTATACATTTGCTATTACCAGTGTGAAACCATTGATAAAAGCAAATCGTATTGAAATTGACTTCTAGCCCAAGAATATCATGGGAGTCACACTGGAGGACCTTGAAAATGCCCAAGGACATCTTATGGTAAATGTGAACACTGGAACTATGGATATTGTTCCCGCAGATACAGGGGCCTACTACACACATTTTGAAATAGAACTTACAATTTTAACTTTCATTGTCAAAAATGGTGCTTAGTGAGCTCACAAAAGTGTTTAAATCAGGAGTCTTATGTAGCTGGTTGGGTAACCATGTTAGACTGAAAGCTGGTTTCTGATCATCAACATTTCATTCTAGTTAGCATCAATGTGAAATTTTGGGAACGGTAGAGCTGTTATTTTCATTCCTAGGTGTTTGATAGTTTGTGCCTTAGTTTTCAAGAAATATGCACTTTGTATATTTGAAAATCATGATCATCTATCACCCATCCTCGTCTTACAAATGTTTCACCTGTGTTTTTTGCAATAACATTTCAAAATTTTGACCAAGAGAAAACCGTAATTTCTAGTATCTTTTACTCTTATGTAAGTTGTTTATCCTCATCTTGTATCACTCGCAGATTTTTGTATTCAAAGCTGTGCATAGTAATTTGCAAAGACCCAAACAGATTGCCTTGAACTACTTCTTTTCAGAGTATAGACTTCCATAATGCTGAACAGTTCGTTCATACTTTTCAGTGCCAAAGGGTTCACAATTTGGGTAATTTAAATGAAGATCTGAAATTTATTTAGAACCACATTATTTATTTTAATTATATAAAAATATTTTCCAGTGCCAGAAATACCCTGACTCATATTGTAGTTGACAGTTAACTTACTCCAGTGCTGGTTATTAGTGTCTTGTTAAACATTTTAATTTCTTTGATTGTCAAATTCTGGTGACGTGCTGAACACCCTAGTGGTACCTTAGGTTTAATCTACTGCTTATTTTTTATTTTATATAAATATTATTTCCTCATCTCTAGTTAAATATGATAGTATTAAAGTAAAATAGTGAAGGGAATAGGTTCTACTGTACGTATATACAAATGTTGCCTTAAAAGGTGTAAATGAATAAATTTACTGTGCACTGATTCACCTTGTGGTGAACCCTAATTTATAGCCAGTATGTTTGCATTAAACTTAGAATAAATAGCTGAGCACTTTTTTAGATGCCTTGATTGCCTCCTGGGTAATAAACTAGGGTGCTTCTGGACAGAGGGCTCCTCATGTTGCTAATCAAAAGGCATTGTGTAGCTATTCTATGTCTTCATCCTCCAATTTTTTTGTGTGTGGAAGAAAAAAATTGGGAAGGGCAAATTGACAAAAAGACATATTCTAGAATCCTCTTGGTGACATATCCAAATGTATGTCTGTGTATACATGTATTCTAACATTGTGGAAGAAAATATCCACAGTGCTCTCTGCCCTGGCCATTCAACAGTAGCTGGGGTACTCACAAATTCAAGTGTATCCTCTGGCCACTGACTGTCCACAGGGATTCAGCCGGACATTTTTCAGCTGCTCTTGCACATCTAGGATGTTCCTCGGGACACAGGCTACTCCTTCCTCCTCCTAAGCATCCTCACATTAGCAGGTTAATGGCCAAGAGGATGGAGATGGTTATGAAAGGAAGCTGTTTTGGCATACCTAGGAAGAAGTGGGAAAGAGGAGCACCATCCAACCCACATAACAGCATATATGTGCTGGCAGAAAATGTTTCGCCAACATACTGGATCTCAGCCATTGATTTCTAGATCTCTGTGCAAATCTATCTATGAGTGAATGCACAATTAAAAGCCTTATCTGAAAGCATTCCTAGTTAACTGTGCAAGTATCCGTATTTTCCCTCAAAGGAAATATGCTTTTTCTGATTTTTTAAAGAATATTTAAACTGTTTTACAAGAAGGATTTTAATATGATGTAGGCATCTTCTGTAATTTTTTAGTATCACATTTAGAATACAAAAATATAATACATGCTTTTTGATGTAGGAACCTGAAGAACTCTGCTATAGATATGCACAAATTGCTCACAACATTTGTGCTATAGATATGCACAAATTGCTTACAGTGTTTCATATGGCAAACTATGTAAGGCACGTTATTCCAGATTATTGAGAGAATCAACAAAAACTGTTCTAAGTAGTGTACAAAGCATGTCAATCACGTAGCACCCAACAGAACATTGTATTTCCCCCCTTTTCCCCAAATGTATTGACCCATATGTACAATAGACTTATAAAATGTGTCATTTGTAAAGGTAAGTTACACGTGTAAAATATCATGCATAGATTTAATGCATTATAAAAATGCACTGGTCTGCATTGTTTAAAATGGTTTGTATTATACATATGTTTTGTAAATGGAATGTCTTGAAGTCACCAATTTGTTTGTTGATCATTAGTGTAACATACTGAATGTATTTTGCTTTTGTTAAGTTTGGTCAGTAATTTAATGTTTTTAGAATTAGGTAATGACATAGGCGCAATCCATTACCTAATACAGTACAAATATTGTGAATAAACATTTAATTTAGTGGATTTACAGACACATAGTTGTGTCTATATGTACTTGTACTCTGAATATATAATATTTGTCTTGTAATTTTACCATTTGAATTTTTTATTTTATAACTTTTGAGTAAACTAGTCAATTATAGGAAATGATTACAATAATTGGTGTAAAAATAAAGATTTTCATATTTAGTACATATTGTCACTATTTGGCAGTCTTGGAGTAACTTATTTAATAGCCAGGTTTTTATAATGGAATTTATTACAAGGAGACAAATCCTTTAATATTTTGTTCTCAATGTTTTATTTTGTAAGTATGTCTTCCAGGGTTCAGGACATCTAGTTGAACAAAAATCTGTACCTTGATTTGAGGTGTAATTCTACACTTTATTCCAATTTTTATGACAATTTTCTAATTACGCATAAGACTTTATTTTATAATAAAATCTAGAGCAAGTTAATACTGCTTCAGATGTGGAAACAATATTTTATTATTTTATATGGTGACAATTTTTTCTCTAATATGTAACATGCAAAATTCAGCCTTTATAATTTGTTACAGTTGCAAAAACTATTTTTTGTAATGTATTAAAATGTTGACAAAAAAGCAATAAAATACACTGACTTGAACAGTTCTAATTAATCTCTAATTTCTAATATAGTACATTGCTTTGCAGGATTAAGTATACTGCTATAAATGAAGAAAAATGATATTTTTTCACATTTCTCTAGACATGCCAAATCAGAATGAAATTCCTGTTTGAATAATTGCTCAACCAGCAAAAAAAGGGCATGAAATACAGCGATTCTACATCATAGTAGTTTTACTATAATATTACACAGCACAATGATAGTGAGCAGGGAAAATAGAAAAATGATTCGGTTTGGGATGCCGATTCAGAAAATTGCATTGGCTAGAGCACATCAGCTCTAGTTTCTGATATAGAGCATATGCCATGGCCAGCGACATGCCATTGTCAGCGACATAAAATAAATAAATAAAAGAGGAAGGAGGCTTGCAGACCAGATTTTTGTCTTTGCGGCCCACTGATCTAAAGAGTGGAATGCCTTCCAATAGACACAACGTATACTGATGGACAGGAAGTAGGTTAACCTGACT